TTTTTTTTTTTTTTTTTTGTGGAAAAATCTTCAATTAAATTTCTAGCAAAATTAAAAGTTTTATATAGTTTAATAATCTATGTAAATGAACTGTTTCATTTCAATTATAATTATTATATTAAGTATTATATCTAAATATATAAAATTACTTGTCCTGACTGACTGACTGATTTATCACTGCCCAGAGCAAACCGCTGAACCTAAAGTGGTGAAATTTGGTACACAGTTAGGGTACATCATGAAAATGCATGCTAAGAAGGGATTTTTCAAAATTCCCCTGCAGGGGAGAGGGAGAGCATTAATGCTTAACCTGAAGAATGGCTTTTAAAATTGATTTCCATACTTTCCCTTAAATTGATAACATTTCAGACATTGTTATAAATATTTTTATATATTTCGATTTTTTAACCAAATATTCGAACCATTTTAAATTTGAATTTGTTATTACATATTGGTTCGATTATAGAATGATTGTAAATGTTCCAGAAAATTGATCAAATTGAAAACATTTCCTTTGATTCTCAGCGGTAGGTGTTATATAACAATTACTATGGTTGTTGAAATATTGAATATAAATGGGGTTTGCTTGCAAAATCCGCACAGGCGAAGTCGTGGATAACAGCTAGTATTTTTATAAATTTAAAAAAAAAATTGTTTACCATTTATCATCGCTACCATTTATTTATTTATTTCACTTATTTTCTTGTATAAGATTTTTTTTTAAAAGTCAGCTTTTTACATTATAATTTCATATAATGTTTTTTAGTGTATTTTTATATTGAAATATATATTTTTTTACTTAAGTAGTTGCTTTTTAAATTGTTTTATGCAGTTATGCTTTGTAATATTACTTTTAAAATAATAATAACATTTGAAATTTTTATTTTAGGGACTATTTTTATCAGTTTGGAGAAATTAGGTCCATAACTATGTTGGCAAGACAACAATGTGCTTTTATACAGTTTACTACAAGAACTGCTGCTGAATTAGCTGCTGAAAAAGCATTTAATAAACTTATTTTATGTGGTAGGAGATTGACAATTAAATGGGGTAGGTCTCAAGCAAAATCTTCTGTACCCACTACTAAAGAAGGAGAAGGGAAGAAATTGGAACCAGTTCCAGGACTTCCAGGAGGTAATATTTTTTCTGAATTACAAATATCGAGAATTTGTGATAACATAATTCTGAATCTTAAATTGTTTTTCTCAGCTTTACCTCCACCACCTGATGAATTAACAAACAATTATTTCAATCTTGCACCAACTGCACAAAATTTACCACCGCCACCTATTCCGCATCCAGCAATGATGCCCCATCCTCCTCCAATGGGTAAGTTTTCAAGTTAAAATTTTAAGAGATTTAATATTTGATACATTACAAATTTTAAAAGTATGTATGTACACCATATTCATAAATATATTTGAATATCATATTGTTGCATGTCATGCAGCAAGACAAAAATGAAAAAATTTATTCTGATAACACAAACCATTGAAATTGTAAACTTTTTGTTCATTGCAACGTGTTATTGAGGCATCATGACAAATGCATTTATTTCATAAAATTGCCACAACATTTCAAGTTATAAATCTAGTAATTTATGTAGTTGACAATATATGATCACTAACCAAATTTTTGATGGTCTATGCATTACTTCTTTGATTACTTCATTTCTCATACAGAAAACATTCCTGTGTAAACATTCAGCAAAAGATTTTGATTCTTTCTATAAAGTTTCAAGCAATATTAATTTTTGAATTAAGATTAAATGCTTTTCAGTAACTGCATAAGTAGTTTGCATTAAAAAAATAAAATTAAAATATTCAGTTCTGACAAAACTGGTTGTTACATTTTAAAAGAAAACATTCTTTTGCATTTCTTTTCAATAAATAATTAAAAATTTGATAAATTTTTATTTTTTTATCAATATAGATGCTTTTATTACATTTTAACTACTTTTGATGATATAAATGATATATGAAGTGTTTATGCTTCAAAACTGAGACATGATGGTAAAATTCTTTGACAGCAAACCAAAGATAAACTTCTTGTATAAAAATATACTCCATCTACAAAATATCTAATTTTACTGTTGTGCTGCTGCAGCAGCAGCAGCAGCAGCGATACACAATGTTGCAAACCTGTTAAGCAAAAAAGAAATTAAAAAGTTTAGTAACAGTATAACAAGAATAATTTGAATTTGTTCATTTTTTTGCAACTATCTGTGTTCATTTCATCAATAAAAACCAATTCATGTAGATCTCTACTTCAACTGATTCTTATCGATCAGTTAGCAATGTACAGTAAATGTATTTAGATCAGTATTGTATGTAGATCAGTTAGTAATGTATTGTATGTAGATCAGTTAGTAATGTACAGTAAATGGGTTTTAGACTTTCATTAAATTGCATTTATATTTAAGATATAATAATCAGAAGTGCTGCTAGCTGTTTGAACGCTCGTGTGCAATATCGATTATGCCGCCCTGTTTAACTACGACTACCTAAGATGAGCTTGCCAGAAAGGCTCTTTAGTGTTGTTTCATAAGGGTGTGAAAAAAGAAAAGAAATACTTTACAAAGAAAAACTATTTATTTTTATTACTAAATTATTTTTGTTTTCTTAGATGTAAAACCATATAAATATTTATCTACAGAAATTTAACTCTTCTTGCCTTTGTTTGTGAAATCTGCTATCAATTTTCTTGTATCCAAGCTGTCTAAGATTTCATGTTCAATTGAAACTATAGCTAAATTACTTAGTCTTTGCTGGTCTTAAGTAGTTTTTTTTATAATTTTTAACTTTGAAAAGGACCTTTCACCAAATGCAACTGAAACCGGCAATGTAAGTAATATTCTTAGTGCTACTGCTATGTTCGGAAATGTTGAAATTAAGTCATTAGTAAAAAGATATTGTAATTGCTGCCCCCTGGACGTGCAGCCCGCTTACGGTGGGCCTGATAATAATAATGGAACTTATTATGGAAACAGAGAAATTAGTGTGTGATTAAATTTATATTAGTTATATTTTATAAAAAGTTTCATTAATTTTGAATTCTATATACATGTCAATTATTATTTTTCATTTATTTTACAATAATTTTATGCCAATAATTGTATAAATTTTTTTAGGAATGAGATTTCCAACACCTCCATTTATGGGACCACCAGGTGTTCCTCCACCTGGACCACCACCACCCAATCCACCACAAGTTCTTAGACCTCCAGGAGGATTTCCACCACCACCAATGCCAGCACCTCCTGTGACTCCTGCAAATCGTTCAGGAATTCCAATCCATTATCCATCACAAGATCCACAACGAATGGGATCAACGGGTATAGGTGCAACGTAATTACAATGCCAAATATTTTTTTTTTATGATTCATGACATAATGCTCTGTAAGAATAAAAAGTGCAAAGTTATTCATAGTGGATTTTATGAGACTTTTTGATTTGAAAAATCATCTATGTATTCATATGAAAGTATTATAAAGTAAAATATATATATATATACACCATCACTTAAGATTTTTAATTTCAGTTTAAAATAGTTATATATTATTTTTTTTGTTTTACATACAAAATGTCTTTACATTTTCTGATAGTATTTTAACCAAAAAATGATAATTTAACTTTTTTATTAAGAATATTTAATTAATATTTTATTTTCTGTAGTTGCTATTTATTATTATTTTTAACATGTTTTTATTAATTAAAGAAAAAATGTTTAAACTTATATCATAATTGGAGAATTTTTAATTGTTAAACACTCCTCTGTAGAAAACTCAGTTTTATTTTTAAATTTAAGAATCATTTTTACTTTCCTGCTGTTATGTATAACAGAGGGAAAGTATGGCGATAGGTCAAAAAATGACCCCCGCCAAGATTTTTACATTTTTGGACTGGAGATCTCGAAACGTCGAAAATGAAAAAAAAATTCAGTTTTTTTTTTTATATGTATGGATGTTAATGTGTGGGGGACACGATTTTGTTCACCCACTTTTTAAACTTAATAACTCCTGCGTTTTATTTTTGTCGAAAATTTCTGGAATTTTGCAGGAAGATTTATGATGATAAAGCTTGGCGATTAAAGGTCGAGGGTTGGGGAGATAATGGGGGATACCGTCAACTGGGCGCCGGATATGTGGGCGACAAAATAAAAGATCAATAATAAACAAAATACAAAATTTTTTGTTTTTATAAAAATCGCCATTCATTTTCTATTGATCTACTACCGGTAAATTTAAGATTTTTTAAGAAAAGTTTAAAAAAACAATTTTGTAATTAACAAATATATTTATACATATTGTATTACATACGTTATTTATTTTTATAAATAGAAGTCTCGAAGGACAGTTAACTATCCCAAAATTAAGGTGACCAATCGTCGTCCTTTTGTAAGTTCTGTCCTCCCTCGAAAAGTGTCCTCCTACATGTCCTCCTTTTTGATATTTGAAGATTAATCTGTAAATCTCTGTATCTGATCAATCCGAACTGACCGTTGCATGACGATTCATCAAGGCTCTGTACAGTGCGACGAGATGCAATTATGAGACGCATGCTCTTCGCACGGGAGACCTTGAGAGAGAGAGAGCGCGCAAATGGCTTTGTTTACTTCTTATCGAAACACGACATGGCANAGGTTTTAACAGGGATAGAGTTATGTTGGACATCCATAGAGGGAAAGGAGTTACAAAAACTTGGACAAACTGGGACAAGAGGGAAAAGTAAACATTTCAAGAAAAATGCACATGTAATTTATGGATAGTCCAAGTGCTTAGACTGTAGAAAATGGACTTACACCACTTTCAAAATCAATGGTTATGCAATGTGATTTATCGATAAATTTTCAATTGATCAAAGCTTATGGTTATTTTAAAATGTTAAGTGTGAATTGTTTATAAATAAAAAGTTCACACTAAATTGTATGTATATTATGTGTTTTCTCAATTTTTTCCAAAAATGGACTTACACCACTTTCAAAATAAACGGTCCAATTATTAATTAATGAAAATAGTGTTCTGTTTATATATATCCTTAATTCCATTTGCTTAATAAATTACATCAGTTATATGACATTTGGCATATTATACAGAAATGTGTAATTCTTGGATAATTTGAAGTTGCAGATATTTGATTCCCTGATTTTTGAACTAATTAGGATTTCCTGTAACTTGTTTCCTTTTCAAATTTAAAGAAAAGCTTTATATCATTATAGTTTGAATATAGTATAATTAATGAATGTGTTCATTTCTTTATTTAAACTAAAAGTTTAGTTTTGCAGGAACTTTTGTAAAACAGATTTAAAATATTTTGTGTTATATTATCAATAATTTTTCTTTATTTATTTTTGAAAATATCATTTTTCAGTAAACCATTCATTTCCTCCTCATTTTCTAATTATTATAGATCATCAGCCAGATGTCCAAGGTAGCAAAGACATCAGTATGTTACTTTGGGGTACTGGATTTGAATTTTGGTCCATAGAGTGGCAGGCTGATGCCTTTGCCACCCTAGAAAAATTTCTATCCATTCCAGCTACATTGGTCCCTGAATCTGTGCTGCACTTGGAAAAAGGGCTCTCTTAGTGCCCACAGGGCAGAAGGAGAGAAAAATATTATAGGTCATTAATAGATACTTGATTTGTTTTTTTTTTTAATTCAAAGGATAGATATATTATAAATAAATATTAGGCTTCCTTAATCTCAAGAATGGAGTTAGATAGATGAAAGCAGAGAGCAGATATGAAAGTCTAAGGATAGGAGACCCCAATTAACAATACGCAAACTTTCGATGCAAGCTGGAGGTCACGTTATTTCAATTCTAAAATTTCTCCTGAAAGGAGTTAGATAGATGACTGGCACAACTTGATTGCTAAAGGCAGAGTATGTTGTACAGGTGCAAGACACTGCTAATTTGAAGGTGGAGAGCATATATTTTAAATTAAATAAATTAAAAAATATGATTAAAAATCGCATTCTGGCGATCTAATTAAAAATTAAATTAATAATGTAAAAAATCTGCAATTTTTTACATTATTAATTTAATTTTTAATTAGATCGCCAGACAATAATTATTAATCACAATAAATTATTAATCACACAAATAATTACATAATAATAATACATAATTATTAATCACACAAATAATTATTAATCACAATAAATTAATAATGTATGTTTTTTTGTAATAAAATCTCATACCCAGAAGGTTGCACAACACATTTCTGGATTATTTTATTTTTATATTATTTTAAAATTTTATGAATACTTTAATGTACTTGGATAGCTTTAAACTCCTAACTCACTTCACCTATGCAATTCCAATATAGACTAGTAATAACAAAAACTTCTATCTCTTAATTTGTCTAATGCTGAGTGAGGATTCTGTAACATTTAAGTTCAGATTTGTTTCAAAATGCACATCCAAACAAAAATTAATTGGGAATAAAAAAGTTTTTATTCGAATTGCATAAAAATCTCTCCATTAAAATCTAACATAAAACAACCTTCAGATTCCAGAACAGAAACATTGTTGGTTTTTTTTTTTTTTTTTTGAATTGGTTAAACATCATGTTTTTTGAACGTTCCACAGAAAATTGTTTCGATTCCATGGTTTCATACTTTGCTTCACTTGACTCGCTCACCTCATAGGCTTGGCTCACTTATTCTCAATAGAGATTAGTTTTTATAATGCCTTAAATTTTTTTATAATATTCTTTTTAGTTTATTTTATTCATACTTCCTGCTTCAATTTAGAAAAATTTTAGACCTATAAATTCTCACTGTTGTCTGTCTATCCATCTATCTGCCTTTCCTTAATCTTGAGAATGGAGTTAGCTAGATGAAAGACGAGACCAGATATGAAAACCTTAGGGGCAGGAGGCCCTGATTATTTAATTCTGTGATCTCAATATTGGAAAAACTTTATAGTAGTCTTTTTGAAATTTTTACAAATAGTTTGTTACATATAGAAAAACATCTTTTTATCAATTAAATTTACCTGTGAAATAGAAAAATAATTTAGTTTTATTTTATAAATTTTGTATTTATCTTAGAAATACTCATTTTTTTTTTTTGTGGAAAAATCTTCAATTAAATTTCTAGCAAAATTAAAAGTTTTATATAGTTTAATAATCTATGTAAATGAACTGTTTCATTTCAATTATAATTATTATATTAAGTATTATATCTAAATATATAAAATTACTTGTCCTGACTGACTGACTGATTTATCACTGCCCAGAGCAAACCGCTGAACCTAAAGTGGTGAAATTTGGTACACAGTTAGGGTACATCATGAAAATGCATGCTAAGAAGGGATTTTTCAAAATTCCCCTGCAGGGGAGAGGGAGAGCATTAATGCTTAACCTGAAGAATGGCTTTTAAAATTGATTTCCATACTTTCCCTTAAATTGATAACATTTCAGACATTGTTATAAATATTTTTATATATTTCGATTTTTTAACCAAATATTCGAACCATTTTAAATTTGAATTTGTTATTACATATTGGTTCGATTATAGAATGATTGTAAATGTTCCAGAAAATTGATCAAATTGAAAACATTTCCTTTGATTCTCAGCGGTAGGTGTTATATAACAATTACTATGGTTGTTGAAATATTGAATATAAATGGGGTTTGCTTGCAAAATCCGCACAGGCGAAGTCGTGGATAACAGCTAGTATTTTTATAAATTTAAAAAAAAAATTGTTTACCATTTATCATCGCTACCATTTATTTATTTATTTCACTTATTTTCTTGTATAAGATTTTTTTTTAAAAGTCAGCTTTTTACATTATAATTTCATATAATGTTTTTTAGTGTATTTTTATATTGAAATATATATTTTTTTACTTAAGTAGTTGCTTTTTAAATTGTTTTATGCAGTTATGCTTTGTAATATTACTTTTAAAATAATAATAACATTTGAAATTTTTATTTTAGGGACTATTTTTATCAGTTTGGAGAAATTAGGTCCATAACTATGTTGGCAAGACAACAATGTGCTTTTATACAGTTTACTACAAGAACTGCTGCTGAATTAGCTGCTGAAAAAGCATTTAATAAACTTATTTTATGTGGTAGGAGATTGACAATTAAATGGGGTAGGTCTCAAGCAAAATCTTCTGTACCCACTACTAAAGAAGGAGAAGGGAAGAAATTGGAACCAGTTCCAGGACTTCCAGGAGGTAATATTTTTTCTGAATTACAAATATCGAGAATTTGTGATAACATAATTCTGAATCTTAAATTGTTTTTCTCAGCTTTACCTCCACCACCTGATGAATTAACAAACAATTATTTCAATCTTGCACCAACTGCACAAAATTTACCACCGCCACCTATTCCGCATCCAGCAATGATGCCCCATCCTCCTCCAATGGGTAAGTTTTCAAGTTAAAATTTTAAGAGATTTAATATTTGATACATTACAAATTTTAAAAGTATGTATGTACACCATATTCATAAATATATTTGAATATCATATTGTTGCATGTCATGCAGCAAGACAAAAATGAAAAAATTTATTCTGATAACACAAACCATTGAAATTGTAAACTTTTTGTTCATTGCAACGTGTTATTGAGGCATCATGACAAATGCATTTATTTCATAAAATTGCCACAACATTTCAAGTTATAAATCTAGTAATTTATGTAGTTGACAATATATGATCACTAACCAAATTTTTGATGGTCTATGCATTACTTCTTTGATTACTTCATTTCTCATACAGAAAACATTCCTGTGTAAACATTCAGCAAAAGATTTTGATTCTTTCTATAAAGTTTCAAGCAATATTAATTTTTGAATTAAGATTAAATGCTTTTCAGTAACTGCATAAGTAGTTTGCATTAAAAAAATAAAATTAAAATATTCAGTTCTGACAAAACTGGTTGTTACATTTTAAAAGAAAACATTCTTTTGCATTTCTTTTCAATAAATAATTAAAAATTTGATAAATTTTTATTTTTTTATCAATATAGATGCTTTTATTACATTTTAACTACTTTTGATGATATAAATGATATATGAAGTGTTTATGCTTCAAAACTGAGACATGATGGTAAAATTCTTTGACAGCAAACCAAAGATAAACTTCTTGTATAAAAATATACTCCATCTACAAAATATCTAATTTTACTGTTGTGCTGCTGCAGCAGCAGCAGCAGCAGCGATACACAATGTTGCAAACCTGTTAAGCAAAAAAGAAATTAAAAAGTTTAGTAACAGTATAACAAGAATAATTTGAATTTGTTCATTTTTTTGCAACTATCTGTGTTCATTTCATCAATAAAAACCAATTCATGTAGATCTCTACTTCAACTGATTCTTATCGATCAGTTAGCAATGTACAGTAAATGGGTTTTAGACTTTCATTAAATTGCATTTATATTTAAGATATAATAATCAGAAGTGCTGCTAGCTGTTTGAACGCTCGTGTGCAATATCGATTATGCCGCCCTGTTTAACTACGACTACCTAAGATGAGCTTGCCAGAAAGGCTCTTTAGTGTTGTTTCATAAGGGTGTGAAAAAAGAAAAGAAATACTTTACAAAGAAAAACTATTTATTTTTATTACTAAATTATTTTTGTTTTCTTAGATGTAAAACCATATAAATATTTATCTACAGAAATTTAACTCTTCTTGCCTTTGTTTGTGAAATCTGCTATCAATTTTCTTGTATCCAAGCTGTCTAAGATTTCATGTTCAATTGAAACTATAGCTAAATTACTTAGTCTTTGCTGGTCTTAAGTAGTTTTTTTTATAATTTTTAACTTTGAAAAGGACCTTTCACCAAATGCAACTGAAACCGGCAATGTAAGTAATATTCTTAGTGCTATTGCTGTGTTAGGAAATGTTGATATTAAGTCATTAGTAAAAAGATATTGTAATAGGGTTTGTGGATCATTAGACTGGTTTTCTGGAAAATGCAACTTTAAAGTATT